ATATATATATATATATATATATATATATGGCTTTTGCGCCGAAACGTCAGTAGGACTATTGGTAATTTATCGTTATTAATATTAGTAATATTTTATCACTAGTGTTACTATTACATGATTATTTTTACCTAGCACTACTATTATTGTCTTACATATTACCATAACTATAATTATTATTATCCTCACTGACCCTTCTCGAACACCAAAAATGCAAAACTGATGTCCTAAGAAAACCAAGGTAATACTAATATTTAAGATAGTAATAAAAATACTAATAGTAGCAGTAATAAAAGTTGTAACGAATAAACCAACGAGCACTAACATTATCAAAAAATGAATACTAACAGAATATAGCACCCACTATCTAGCAGTTATTTAACTACGTCAAAAATTACTTGTTCTTTATAATCTAATCTCATGTAAACAGTCATGACTCGTGACGTAGGGTACATACAATAATTATGAACCAAATCAGTTCACAGGAAAACAGCATCACAATTCAATAAAAAAACAACCAACCGCTCACCACCTCAACTAAAATTACAATGAACTTATCAACTAAATTTCTGTACAAATACAATCAACATTATAATTACTTACCTCATGGAAAACCAACACAGAGGATACAAAAACAACACATCGAGATGCATATGGATAATTTATTATCATTAATTTCCTCCTAATGACTGCGATCTATATATCTAACGCTCTCATCATTGATACATACCTAACGATATCATGGCATACCATATGTGATGATAGTCAGGCAATATCAAATAAGCGCGCATTACATATTGTTCCATGTCAAATTTATATGTATAATTATTATTTTGAAAAGAAATCTCAATTTAACGTGTGCGAATAACCTTTTCATTTTAATCTTATTATTGTTATTGTTATTATATCTACAACAAAAATATTATATTCATAATCAAGTTTTACATATAAAAATTCTCATAAATAAATAAATAAATGAATAAATAAATAAATAAATATATATATA